CCCACAACTCCACCACAGAGTCACCGCAGTAGACGTTAGATGAGCGCTGTCGCTATGCGGCACTTGTTATATACGTATTCCATTTGAAAATGTGAAGGTTGTGTTAAAATATCGACTATATTTACTGTAGAGAAAGGAGGAATGAAAGAGGCACTGTCAGCATTCCAGACAGCATACAAGCTGGCTGTACAAACAGACAATGTAGAAACCGAACGGGCATGCGCCTTCAACCTAGGAGCAGTGTTGATAGCACTTAAAGATCCAGTTAAAGGACTTGACTACCTATACCAGGTGAGAAAAGTTAGACAAATTAATTATATGTATAATCGTGATAATTTAGTAAAAAAAATTAATTGTGTTTGAGTGTAATAATTATAACATTAATTATATATATATTATTTATTATCATTATCTAGACACGTGCTATTACAAAAAACAATCAGTCGCTACTTTAGAGATTTAAAACAATTTAGAGAATTTTGTTACTCGTAACTTATGTCAGGTCCAATGCATCACCTGATTATAATTGTATCAGCTTAGGGCACAAGTTGTTAGGAATGACAGTTATGATGCCTATTTGAACATAAGTAGTAGATTACGTAACGTATTGTAGGTCTAATGTAGCCAAGGTAATCCTTCGCTCGAGCCCATATTGCTTGACAGTATTAATTGATAATTACAGGCTCTACCATCGGACGAGGAGCTCCAGCTTCCCGATGAATTTGGGAATGGCGACCTATTCTTCAACTTTGCGCTCGCGCACGAAACGCTTGAGGATTTTGAGGAAGCTCTCAGACATTACAGCATGGCGCTGGCATCCTACCGACTACTCGACTCCGTCAATGAAAACCCGTTCATGGAAGGCGAGGTGAGAATACATGAATTTACCGTGCAGCATTTACGACCGCCTTCGCAATCGTTACGCGCACACGTGATAGTATTTACGGGAACTCATGCCAGGATTATAACCCGTGTGTTTCCACATGCCTATATGTGACGACGATATTTATTTAGCCTGAATGAATAAGACCTGATGAGAATAACAGAAGCATAGAATTGATTACATACACATCACCTGTACTCATGTCACTGGCCTCACAGACGATTTTACTGCCTGTTCGAAGGTATGTATCAAGCAGGGCATGATGTATAGTAAGCTACTGAAACCCATAGAGGCAGCAGAGCGGTTCAAGGAAGCAGCAGCAGCCTACTTTAGAGTGAATGCCTGCAGGAGACAAGCTACAGCCCTACTCTATCAGGTATACAAATACATGGCCTTACTTTCTGGCCCTCATGCAGAATAGTATAACTGTACAACTATGAAGCGCCTTCTTGCCAATTCAATGTCAGTGTTAATACATGTAAACCTGGGCAAATAAGTTCAATAATACTTCGCTAGCATGATCCTAGTTGTTGTTTTTTTGTCTTGCAGAATTCCATTCCTGTACAAATAAAATTGTTATCTAAGGTCCATATTTATTTGTCAACAAATAATCAACATCATTATCATCATAACTATTCTACTATATGCACTAAAAAAATTATGCTTGGATTATTTATTTATAATTCAGGCAAATCAGCTGCTTGGTGGGGACAAGCACAAAGAGTGTAACACAGTACTTGAAGAATGTGTATGTGTGTGTGAAAAATTGCCTCACACTAAAGAACTCGGTATGTGCTGACACCTATTGGTTGAATATTTCATATCAATTTCTGCAAACATCTACCCATTGGTAATACGTGTAATACTTTTGACCAGCAGTATCTGTATTACAAGATACTTCTGCTTCCAGTATTAACAGAGATTTATGATAGGTGTGATAATTTCTTTATAATATGAAGTAACATTACATTTGTTATTCCTGTGTTTTTATCCATAGGAAAACTTTTTAATGAAGTTGGTCTCACATTCATGCTATGCAAGCAGTATTATCGGGCTGCCACCTGCTTCGAGTGTGCTCTCCCAATTATTCGCTCCTGCCAGGTATTTGCTGCTAGTCAGATTGACATTTTCTCACTTTTATTACAGTAGTGATACATAGTCGTATACAAAATGAAATTAAATATTTTGATTGTGTTATTGCAGTTTCGCAGAATAGTTTATTCATGCTAATTTACTTCTGAGCAGTTGACAAACAAGAAACATGAGGCAGTTATACTTCAGAACCTGGGAGCAGCTTACAACTCGCTTAATGAGTACCAGAGGTCTATCTCTGTTCATGACGCTGCAGCAGCTCTGCATGGTAAGAGTGACATAATTAATTCATAAGCATTTATCATGTATTAGGCAAGTGGTTATCCATATATATATATATAGGACATGTGTGAAGAAGAGGCCTGCACAGCATCTACGGGGCACAGCTTTACTGAGTTCCCCACGTGGATTTAGTTTGCTGGTTGGATGTTGCCATTGTATATATAACTAGACAGAGGGCACTCACGGAGAGTGCATACCTCCGCGAGCATGTAACATGTATGTGCTCGCTGGTGGCGGCTGCTGACTGACTCGCCACTCGCTGACTCGACGCGCTATCGATCGCGCGGTGGCTACACACACACACACACACACACACACACACACACACACACACACACACACACACACACACACACACACA